TTAATAATATAAAATTGTTGATTAATTAAAAGAGTTAATTTAATATATGATTAATGAAGTTAATTAATTTTAATTAAAATAAATTAATCATATTTATTGACTGTGATTTGAGATGATTAGATTTATTTAGTTATCTCAATTAATGATTAATAAATATGATTAATTAATTTTAATTAATTTTAATTAATGTTAAGTTAATTATTTAATTAGATTAATTATTTTGATTAATTAATTTTAATTTTCAATTAACTTTAATCTTGGTCAAAGTCAAAGTTATCTTTTATTTTATCTCAATTTCACCCATAAGTTTTATGATTAAGCAATTCAGTCCCAAAGTTTCAAATCTTTTAAATCAGTCCTTCATGTTTTCAAATCTAATCAAATTAGTCCCCTTAATTTTTTCTTGTGTTCATTGTGCATGCATGTCTTTGATTTTGTCCGTTTTAGCCCAAAAATTTAAAAATGTCACAATTTGGTCTATCCCTTTTTCAGGCTTGCCTATTAAGACTCAAACATAAACATGATGAATAAGTTGAATCAAAACCCCCAATGTTAAAGTATGCAACCGTATTTAAACGGAGGATTGTGAGGTGCGCGTATGCCCTTCCTCACTCCTAACCGAACAACCGAACCCCCGAACCCCGATCTCTGCGCAGACTTGTTTTAGGTGACTTGTCCCACCTTATAATTTGGACGAGTGGCGACTCTCTTTTTTCTTATATATTTCACACATGATTTTTTCATTTATTTTGAAAAAAATCTTAAGTGGTCGTCAACAGATGCAATGGAGGGCATTCCAAATCTCCTGTTCAGAAGGAAGGTTAGCCAAGTTAGCCAGAGGAGGATTAGAGGGATTCCCAAATAAGTCAGCCACTTGGTAGGAATCAGAGAAGGAATAACAAAGGGATGAAGTGAAAAGGTCTTTAAAATAGTCTCTACACAACACCTTAATATCTTCCAAATTCCATAACCAATTCCCAGTTGAATCCTTAAGTGCATGAATTTTATTTTGGGACCTATGCTTGAGGGCAGTGACATGAAAGAATCGAGAGTTTTTGTCACCATCAACAAGCTAGTTGGTTCTAGCTTTCATAAACCAGAGGTTTTCCTCCAACTTAAGAATGTCTGAATATTCATTGGTAAGGTTCTTTTCCCAAATTAGTGAGGAAATTACTATGTTGAGAGGAAAGGAACCTATGAATACCATCTAATCTAGCAAGGATTTCCTTCTTCCTTTTAAAAAGGTTCCCAAAAGTAACACGACTCCAAACCTTAGCCTTTTGCATAGTTGAAGATACACATTGAACTGTTGTGGCATCAGCAAAATTCCAAGTGTCGCGAACAAGACATTGAAATTTAGGATGGTCCACCCAAAATTTCTCCATTCGAAAAGGGTGTTTGCCAATCAAAGGATGACCAAGGTCCAAATTCAAGAGTACAGGATTATGATCCGAGTGCACCCTAGGAAGATGGTAAACTGTGGCTTCAGGAAAACAGATTTTCCACTCTGGGTTGCACCAAAATCTGTCGAGACATTCACGGATGATATTTCCATTAGATTGCATGTTAGTCCAAGTAAATCGCCCCCCAACAAAGCCCATGTCCATCATATTACAAGAATTCATACAGGAAGAATAGGCTTGGACGCGTTTTTGATTAATAGGACCACCTCCAAACTTTTCAGATTGAGAAAGGACATCATTAAAATCACCAGCAATGACCCAAGGCCCAGTAAAGTGGGAAACAAGAGAAGAAAGCTCTTGGCAAAGATAAGTACGTATCTCTTGTTGAGGCCTGCCATAAACACCAGAAAAGAGCCAATTAAACTCAGAAAAAATAGGATGGTTACTAACCTTAATGATAGCATGAATAGCTTGGGGATTGGTAGCAATAATATCAATAGACACCCGAGTATCATCCCAGAGAAGCCATATACCACCAGTAAGCCCATCCGCATCAATCACATAGTAGCATGGAAATAGGGAAGAGGCTATGTTAGAAGCTCTATCACCAGCAAGCTTAGTCTCCATAATAAGCATAATACTAGGAGAATGGGTAGATTTTAGATCCATAACATGACGCCTGAAGTTTTTGTTTGCCGCCCCGCGACAATTCCAGATAATGATCCTCATTAATAAAAAATCAAAATGAAGAGGTCCAAGTGCTTTCTTGGTTACACGGCTACTACGGGTTAGGATAAGACTCGTTAGCATTTTCATTACCATTCAAGCTGTGGGAAGGTGGAATGGTAGGATTAGAATTGTGAAATCCTTGTTGAGGGAGTCCATCATTCTGTCCTGCTGGTAGCTGCGAGGATAGATTGATGTCGCGATCTCCCTGAATTGCATGCACTGATAGTGTAGAAGGTTCTGTTTTCTCTCTAACACTGGTGGTTTGATATGGCCCACTAACTCACCGATGATAGTGCCTACGGCGTTGAGGATTAGATCCAATACGGAGAGAAGAACCATTTCCCTTAGAGTTCCTCTGTTCTTCATAAGGAGAAGAAGGAGTAAGTTGTGGATGCTCATCTTGTTGTGGAGGGTGAGCAGGATTCTCCATGCTAGACAAACTTTTAACTTGTTCCCCAAATTGGATCTCTAGGAATCTAGATGTAGCAATAGGCTGATTACCTCTAATATCTAAAGGCTCTTTGACATTGCCCTTTAGGAGTATCTAGTGGTTGCAATCCAGGATCAAGAATTAGAGGTTCAGATGGTCCCTCGATGGAAGTAGGGATCAAGGGTAAGATGGGCTTAGGGTCAGTAGAAGAAAAAGGGGAAGGAATGAGCAATTCAGTGGATGGAGATGAATGGAGAGAGGAACCATCAACAATTGAGGGTGGGCTTTCCATGACCCTATTATCCAAAATGGCCTTTGGGCTTGGATTTGCCGAGAGGTTGAAAGGCACATATTTAGTTGGCCCTGTTGGTAGGTTGCCAGGTCTGGACCCATTGTTCCATGGTGCCATTTTCATTTGGGTCTTGAGGGGATTTTGGTTATCTCTGACTTGTGGTTTGGTATTTGAACTACTTGGTTTTCCGTTGTGTTGATGTTGACTAGGAGGAGCCGTTGAGAAGAAGGCATTAGACTTCTGTCCCATAATTAATGAGGGAGTAGTAGCACCGTTGGTATCTTGGGATTGGTGAATCTTAGAGCCGAGTTTACGGGTCGGCACTCCGGGCTTACGAGAGTCCTTTTGGTGCCTAATTTCGGCGGTTCCTTTCTCTGATTGTTCTGTGAAAGCAGCTTGACACCGTCTTGGTCGCCTTCTTTCTACAAGTAACCAAGGGCCATAGTCTCCTTGACTCGATTGAGCTTGATCATGTGGGATGGTTGTAGCTTTCCCTTTGCGGCTCTGATTGGTAGGACTATTTATATCCTGGGCTTGTTCAGTCTCTGTACCTTGTGGGTATTGATTAGTGGCAGTGGTAATCCCCACATTTGAAGGCTTAGCAATCAATGGAGGAGATAAATTAGAAGACTGAACTGGTGTTGGAGAATGAGTGCAGTGTATGTTTCGATGACCAATCCGTCCACAATTAAAACACAGGGCATTAACTCCCTTATAAAGAACCTTTTGTTGATGTCTACCAATACGGACTTGTTTAACCACTGGTTTTGAGAGATCAACTTGAACACAGATTCTCGCATACTGTCCCCTAGTATGGTGTTCTATGTGAGCATCAACTCGAAGCAAGTTACCAACCTTGTTTCCAATTTTTTGAAGTGTAGAAGGATCATAATAATCTACCGATAAGTTTGGCAGTTGAGCCCAAACTGCAGTAGTGGTGAATGATTGGAGTGCCTCAGATGGGCCAAAATTTGGTTCCCATCTGCGCATAGTGAGGAAGTAAGGACCAACGAACCAGGGACCTCCAAAGACCACTTTATGTAGATCTGCTTCATCCTGAAAGCGAACCAAGAAGAAATGAAGACCAAGATCTATAAAATTCCAATGCCCAGTGGGATTCCATTGAGCTCTGATTCTGGGAAATAAATAGTTATAACATAAGGTTTTTTTACAGAAAGCTTTAATAATTAAGGCATTGATTCATGGGGATCTGATTCTTTGTTTTTCAGCGTTGGATAGTAGAACAATCGGTGTATCGTCATCGGGATCATCATCGATATCCGATTCCTCATCCATGTAGTCCGAGATGGTTGAGAATGTGAGAGCCACAGGGTCTGTCATTCTAATAAGTTTCTCCTTATAGGAGGGTTGGCCCCTATCAGACATTTGGATGTCAGAGGCGAGATCTGTTGAAGAAGATGATCTCAGAATATTCCCCTTATCTTGATTGCTTGGATGATTTTCAGGAATCATCTAAGCATAGGCCTCTGTCATTTGAGCTTCCGTATAATTGCCAACCAATGAAATTGAGGGGCCAGAGTTCCCATCTTAATTTTTTTGACACTTCGAGCTAGGAGATCTTGCTCCTGAGCTGACGAACCGGAGGTGGTAACCTCCTTTGGTTGCATGTTGATAGAGAGAAGCATGAGCACTCACTTTCTTTTTTCTTCTAGGCGTATGTGAATCTGTCAATTTCTTTTCTTTTTGCTTAAAATGTAAATGGGAAATTATAGAATTTGTCCAAATATATGAAGGGATAAGCGCAGATCACTCTATTCCTAAGTTTATTTCCTCGCCACACCCTCCTACCCCCCTTCACCCCCATCTTTTTTTTTTTTTTTACATTGTTTCTACGTTGCAGTGGTGGCAGTGCTCTAGTGGCATTTTTAGATGTTGGAATTTTAAGGAACGATATACGTAAAATTTAGGATATCAAAACTTAAAAAAATAAATATATTGCGTACCTGAATCTTCATAACTCTTATCACAATTACTTTCTTCCTTTTATCATTTTTCTAGTTGAACAACAAAATAGTAATTTTGCACAATTTAAATCCATCATACTAACAAACATGTATCTCCAAACTTAATGAAAACTTATGCAATTAAAATACAAATAACTTAAGAGATACATAAATTAATACCAATCGCACATTGACAATATAATTTTAAAAATAAAACTTTGTTTCCGTAAAAGTGCCTTATAATATATTTTATTCCATAGCATGATTTACTTTCATTCACAATAGTTCAAGACATAACTATACTTTACTTTATTTGCATTTTATGTTAATTAAATAAGTCCATAAAATTAAACCTTAACAAGTCAATTAGTAAGAAAATTAACCTTTAGTAAATATGCATAAATACTTATCATCCTTATTCCAACTACTTCAAGTTAATGCATACAACAATCACATTTGGGCAAAATGTTACACTAATATGAACATAGCAACTTTATATCTTAACTTTAATAGTTTATATGTGATCTCCCCAATAGATCAACTAGTTTTTAATGGCATAATAATTTAATATAACCAATGAGTATAACATTTTATTAAACTTCAGAAGTTTTATTATAAGTGAATTAATAAGAATGGTCTCATAGAAAATAATCTCTTTTGGGCAGAAAATTCTCTAAAACTAAAATAAAAACCCTTACTAACCACTCACACTTCTTTTAGTCAATATGCACAATCACCCCATTTGGGCAGGTTATCATACACATTAATTTTAAGAAGCAAACATTTCAAAATCCTTATTGAAAAATATGTAAATCTCAATAAATGGTCTACTTTGGTAGCACTAGCCACGTCAACTCACAAGCAACGTTTTAAAAATCGGACCGGACCGATCGGTTGAACCGATCGGATCGGTACCCGATATTAAAAATGGTTCGGATCAACATTTAGAACCGATAAAATGATTGAACCATTCAAAACCGATAAAACTGTTTGAACCGGTACAAACCAAAAAACCATTCAACCGGACGGTTTAAATCCTTTGGAGGATTTACCTTAAATTTGCTACCCTCGGAGGTTTGAACACATGACTTCAAGAAGATTTTCTGTGACTTTTGCCACTAGGACGTTACCTCTTTGATTGAAATGATTTGCTAACAATTTCATTTATGTTATTCTTCAAAGAAAAGAATTGACCCATCCAGTAGAATCGAACTTTCCTTCCCTTTACGAACTTTGATGTTAAAATT